ATGGAATACACCGATCCGGGATTAATAGCTATGGCTTACCCCACAATGGCACTGTTAAGCCAAAAGGCAATTCTACTGGGGAAAAAAGGAAACAGTGACAACATGTGAACCAGCAGCACACAGCAGTTACAGAGGCTACCATCAGAAGTTTGCTCACAAGTCAGTGTTCTCTAGGCCACGGATGGGTTCGCTACTGACTGGACAAGGAGGCCCAGAATTACATGGCTGGCTCCTAAGAGAGCCCAATGGCTGTGTGGCTCTAACCTTAGCCATGGCTTTCCCCCAGGCCGGATAGACCATTGCGCTCTGGGTTTTGCCTGGATGGACAGACCCAGTATTAAAACCATTATCAACCCAGACAACCTTCCACGTTGAAAACAATGGTGGACACGTTCTGTGTTTCACTGGTATGACCACCTAGCGTCCACGTTTACTTCTCTTTAGGACAAAGGGTTTTGTTTTGCGCAAGGAAGCTCTTCATAGCAGTCAAAGCCCTAAATGACACTCAAAATAGCATTTCCCTATTAAATACTGAAGTAACACAACTGTGCAGAGCACGTGTGCGACACAGAATGCAGGAGATGTTTTAGCTGCTGCACAAAGTGGATCTTGTGCTGTGACAGAAACAGAATGCTGTGTACACATGCCGGCTGGTCACAGTAGTGTTTCTGGGTTCCCACCTGACCTGAATATTCAACTAGGCCTTTGAACAATCCCACTCTTTCTTTAGTGATGGCTGAACTCGGGAGTATAAGATTTTTGGTCACCGATGAAACCACTCTTATTTGGGCTTCTGCCTCTTCTTCGTTTTGTTACAATAAGTACGCTTTGCTCTTTTCTACCACGTCTCTCATCCTGGTGCCAAGACCCCTTCAGCACCGTTAGGTCAAGCCAGCAGGTGATCCTCTCCACTACGGCAGATCTGTACTTGTGGTCTTCCTCCCATGCAGCTGCCCCTGCCTTAAGTGGTCTCTCTATATGTGAGTCCCTGGCCAACTGAATGGGGTCCACAGGTGAGGACATCTCTACAACCCCGCGGAGCGGGAAGAAGTCACAGAAGACCTTCTGTCGTCGGCAACTGTAAGATTTAAGGGTAACAACTGCTCAGGGGGAAGTAATGTGGAGAATTAATGCAAAAGGAAAATCCAATTTCCTTGCAACCTACAAACAAGTCCTTGAGACGGCCAGAGTGACATTCCTCTAGAAACTGACTGCCCCAATGTTCCTACTTTGCTAAGGGCAAAAGGCAACCTTAGCTCAACGTTAGCCCTACTTCCATGATCCTCTTAACCTCCTTGAAGATATAAATATTCCTCAGGAAACTCCCTTCAACTCTACCCCCCAAGACGTATATTAACAATCATTCTCCAAGCGTAAGGCTCATTGATACACACTTAAAGGTCTCAAGACTAAGCTTTTACTACACAGCAATAAATGCCTTTTGCTAGTAACAGCCAGTCCCTCAAGGTGCTTAAAACGTTGATAACAAACTCCTTAGAGACTGATGCTATCTGTAAGTGCCCCTCAACTTGAAAATATATAACCAGCCGACTCATCCCAACCCCAGGGCAGCTTGCCCCGTCCCTGGCTCCTGTCCCCGTGCTTTGATAAAACTACCCTCTTTGCACCAAAGACGATTCCAAGTTCATTCTTGACCATCAGCCACCAGACCCCATCTCTCTGGACCTGAGCTGGCTTTCAGACCAACTCCTTTTGAAACTGACCTGTTCCTGTTGAAATTCCTGTTAGGAATTTCTTTTTCTTCTAAAGAAAAAGCTTAGTAATGGGATCCCAGACATCAAAATGCTTTGAGGGTAACCCTCTGTCCCCATCTTGTGGCATCCTCTGGTGTTATATTTAAAAACTACCTCTCCTCACATGCACTTTTTTTTTTTTTTAAGATTTTATTTATTTGACAGAGAGAGAGAGAGATCACAAGTAGGCGGAGAGGCAGGCAGAGAGAGAGAAAGGAGGAAGCAGGCTCCCCACTGAGCAGAGAGCCTGATACAGGGCTCAACCCAGGAGCCTGGGATCACGACCTGAGCTGAAGGCAGAGGCTTTAACCCACTGAGCCACCCAGGTGCCCCTCCTCACATGCACTTCTAACTAAATGGACTAACTTCACAAGAACTTAGAACATCAATGGTCCCTATGGGGAACTTTTGATCTCCCCAAATTGACCCTTATCAAAATCCAATTTAACAGCCATGACTACAGCTGTCAAAACCAGATCCAATGCCTGCTTCAATGGCTATTTTGGAGATTTCCAAACGCTTTAAGGACCTAATGGTGCTTCTCTGCAAAACACCATTTCTGAATTCACAGAGACGAGCCACTGAAAGGCATCAAAATGGCTTTTGATCCTTTGTCCCTCCCCCATCTTCTTTGTTTCCAGAGCTGCCACCAACTGGTGTTCAGACCAGGCCTCCAGTGGCCTCCTCCTCTTTTCCCTCTGCCCCATCCCCTTCTCCGATAAACTCACCCCCACTTCTTTCCCTGAAGGTCCCTTTTCCTCAGATTCTCTCCCCAATCCTTCCTCTCCTGAACCTGTTAAGACAGGCCCATTTGGGGTTCCAAGTAACCTCAGTTCCCTGCATTCGAGACTGAACCATGAGCCACAGTTAGCATTTGCCAATGTGGCTGAGGATCCCCAGAGTGTGGTGAACAGTTATTCAAATTTATTTCCAGGAATTACTACACATGATTGTTGGTGAGGGCCAGGCCAAACACTGGGTGACTCTGGCCCGACAGGAACATCTTACGAAGTATTAAGGGGGGCACCTGGGTAGCTCAGTGGGTTAAGCCGCTGCCTTCGGCTCAGGTCATGATCTCAGAGTCCTGGGATCGAGCCCCGCATCGGGCTCTCTGCTCTCTAGGGGAGCCTGCTTCCTCCTCTCTCTCTGCCTGCCTCTCTGCCTGCTTGTGATCTCTCTGTCAAATAAATAAATAAAATCTTAAAAAAAAAAAAAAGAAGAAGTATTAAGGGAACAGCACGTTGTCTGCAGGGACACTAGAACACTTGCTGGAAATACTACTGAGCAATTGTACTATCTTCCCTCAAGTCTGCTGAGTGGAACAAAATTCAGACTGGCACACAAAATCCTGATGGGCCTTTTCAGGATGATTAAAACTGACTCCAAATTGTTTTTAAAGAAATTTTTTTAAAAAATGTATTTGACAGAGAGAGATCACAAGTAGGCAGAAAGAGAGGAGGAAGCAGACTCCCTGCCGAGCAGAGCGCCCGATGTGGGACTTGACCCCAGGACCCTGAGATCATGACCTGAGCCAAAGGCAGAGAAAGGCCCAACCCACTGAGCCACCCAGGCGCCCTTTTCTTTTTTTCCCCTCAATTTTCAGTTGCAACATGTGAGACAGTTTTGAAACCAGTACTTTCTGCGATTACTACAAAGAGCCAGGATACTGGAGAAAGCCTGTTACACACATAAGGGCTGCAGGCACCTGTAGCCTTCCAGCTGGCCATTCCAACCTTCTCTGCATTCCCAAACCAGGGCTCTGAGGAACTATGGGGGCTGTTCCCAGGGGTCCCTTTTAACCAACTAGTGGAACCATCTGCACACTGGGAATGAGTCTCTGCCCTTGACACCAGAATTACCCTCCTGGGGGCCAACTCCCTCACACAAAACCCCCGCCTACAAGGACTGAAACAGCTCCAACAGTGGGGCCTCTTAAAAACATCTCCGCAGGTCTCTTCCTGCCTCTCAGCCTCTTCTTTTCTGGGCCCTTGGAGAGATACTCACCTTCTTCCCCGCTGTTGCTTCTCCTCTACTCATGTGTGCACCTGACATTCCTTAGAAAAATAAATGCCAGAATCTGGTTCCCTCAAAATGGGCCCATAATTCCATACTGCGCAGCAGTGAGCAGAACGATCAACCAGGAGAAGCGAACGACCTCCTGGCCTCTTCTGCACGTTCCGTCTCTGATGGCGCCATGGGGTCTGTTCCTACTGGATCCGCCACCTTGTTCTTTACGGGCAACGCGTTCAGCTGAGATTGCCAGAACCCACAGTATGCCTCGTAAAGATAAAACTGTATTTCTCAAAGTCTCTTGGGAGAATGAGACAAGACAATAGTCTATAAAGATGCACTTCAGGGCATCAAGCCCATGATAGAAGATAAAAAGCGTTAGCGTCTCATGATCCCCCAGCTCTACTCAATGTAACACTGTCTTCCTGGTGAGAAAACCCAATGGTTGGCAACGGACATCTATCCAGGACCTCTCAGCAATAAGTAGCATGTTCATGCCTCCACACTGTTGTTTCTAACCCCACAGGCTACTGACATCCATTGCCACTAGAGGAAATTTTTCATCGTAACTCACCTATGCACTGGATTTGGGATTCCAGCTGGTAAGTGTAGCGAGTTTTTGCTTTCACTTGGATAATACCCACAGACAGTCATGCCGCAGGGAACCGCAGAATCTTCTGTACTTTCCATGGACCCCTAAGGCAGCTCTGGATGGCGGACAATCTTCTGCGTCTCTACTTTATCACACTATGGAGACAATTTCATTCTCTGCCTTTCAATGGAAGGCATCATCTACTTGTTGAAACTTTTAGTTTTAAAGGGACATAAAGTCTCAAAAAATTAAGGTTTGCTCAAACTCAAGATAAACACGTATGGTATCTGATCTTGGAACCAGACCACACTGGGATCCAGACAAAACCCCTCATCCTTAATGCAGACACAACATCATGTTTTGAGTCCTGGTGACATTACAGGTCACTCTTCTAAGGAAAAAAGACTATTTTCATAGTTTACTGGTAGGTATTTTATTTTATTTTATTTTATTTTTTTTGAAGATTTTACTCATCCATTCGACAGAGAGAGATCACAAGTAGACGGAGAGGCAGGCAGAGAGAGAGAGAGAGGAGGAAGCAGGCTTCCTGCTAAGCAGAGAGCCCGACGTGGGACTCGATCCCAGGACCCCGAGATCATGACCTGAGCCGAAGGCAGGGTCTCAACCCACTGAGCCACCCAGGCGCCCTACTGGTAGGTATTTTAAAAAGCATGAACGTAGTAAACATTATCTTGGGTGTGCTTCTGGGAATCCTTTCTCTTTTTAAGATGTTATTTGATGATTACTTATTTTACATGATCTCTACACAGAATGTGGGGCTCAAACCCACAAAGCCAATACTAAGAGTTCCACTATCTACTGACCTAGTCGTCCAAGCACCCTGCAAATTCTTTTGAAGGTCTGAGACAGCAATGCTATCCCATTTGATGTCCAACCCAACAGGGTGAGTTACACTCTCCTTTTGCCAAGGGTAAAACCACAAACACTAGTCCAACTGGTATGCTACTGGGGTACCTCAGGACTGTGGAATATTATGGAAACCATGAAATGTTGTTACATCCAATGTCAATAAAACTGAAGAGGCTCCTATGCCTAAAATGTACGTTATGCTGTATTTTGGCAGGAGTTCTGGCTGTTATTACTGGCACTGTGCACGCCAGACTTTGGCTCCTGAGGGTAAGAAGAAAGCACTTCGGATATATTCCCACCACCATCACTGACCGCGGGGAAAAAAAACAAGCGATCCTGAGCAATGGTCAAGAGGCACATTCTTCCAAGTCATATTGGAATAAAATCAACCAAAAACACCAACAATAACTCTCAGAAGAGGTAAAAACAACTTAAAAAATTTAACATCTGCTCAATAAAAGGATAAAACTTATGTGAAAACACGTGTTTCAATAATGAAGACTGAAAATACAGAGGTGATTCAGAGTCAGGAAATTCTAGTATTAGCAACAGAAAAGAACTTTCAACAATCAAAAAGTCTTATGGGATGATCACAGATTAGGAAATTTTTGGAATATGAACTTCAAGTTTTTTTCTAAAATTATGTAAAGTTGTACGCACACACTCCTCCCACAGACACGTTCTTATCAACCTGAGTCTAAAAGACATTGTATTGGAAAAGAAATGTGTTTTACATAACCAGGTGATTACTTCAAGTCTGAGACAACAAAGTGTATGTCCTACAGATGTAGAGGACAAAGGACACTGAGCACCATGAGTGTTCATATCAGCAACACGAACTAGAAATTAAGACACTTCGCATCTCTACCATGGAAGAGGCACTTGCAAAAACAAAGCCATGTTTGTAACAATGAAATGATTTCTGTCCTGCCACAATTGTCATGAACAAAATACATGAAGTTCTATACGGGAAGTGTTCCCCAAATTGTGTCCATTCGGGTTTGTCTCCAGTATATTGGCTCTCATTTAAAAAATGATTTTAGGGAGATTAAATGCTTTCGCACAGTGTCTGTGCTCCCAGATTGAGGAAATACTAGAAGGCTTTTCCATGGTTCTTAACTTCATAGGGTTTCACATCACTGTGTTCTCACAAGGATCCCCGAAGATTAGAGGGACACCTGAAGGCTTTCCCACAGTGTGGACATTCACACAATTCTCGTCAACTGAGTGTTATCACATATACTTGCAGTTCTATGCGATACTAGAAGGTCTTACCAGAGTCCTTAGATTCACAAAGGTTACCGTCCACTGTGATTCCTCACGTGTTCCTGAAGGGAGTAGTGACCGGTGAAGTTCTCTCCCCACTGTGTTTCTTCATATGCCCTCGAAGGGATGAGGGAAACTTGTATGTTTTCCCACATTCATTGCATTCGCAGGGTTTAATTGTGTTGTGCATTTTCAAATGATCTTGAAAACACTGAGGCTGACTGAAAGCTTTCCCACACTCTGTACACTTAAAAGGTCTCTCCCCAGTGTGTGTCCGCGTGTGTGCTTCCAGGTGCGATGGACTCCTGAAGGCTTTGCCACAGTGGTGACATTCATAAAGTTTCTCCCTAGTGTGTGTCCTCGTATGTACCCGCAAGGACGCAGCACGGGTGAAGGCTTTCCCACACTGCTGGCATTTACAGGGTCTTTCCCCACTGTGTGTCCTCATATGAGCTCGTAGGTTTCCAGGAGTGGTGAAGGCTTTCCCACACTGCTCACATTTACAAGGTCTTTCTCCACTGTGTGTCCTCATATGAGCTCGCAGGTTTCCAGGACTTAAGAAAGCCTTCCCACACTGCTCACATTTACAGGGTCTTTCCCCAGTGTGTGTCCTCATATGTACCTGCAGGTTTCCATGAGTCGAGAAGGTTTTCCCACACTGCTGACACTTGCAGGGCCTTTCACCAGTGTGTGTCCTTTTATGTCCTCGAAGGTTTGCGAGAGACTTAAAGGCTTTTCCACACAGCTCACATATGAAGGGTCTTTCCCCAGTGTGTACCCTTGTATGTACCTGTAGGTCTCTGTGCCACCTGAAGTCTCTTCCACACTCCTTACATTCATAGGGTTTCAGGATACCGTGTGTGGCCATGTGACGTTCGAAAGGTTGATGCTTTCTGAAAGTTTCACCACACACCTTACATTCCAAGTGTCCACCCTCGGTGTGCCTTCTCACAGTATGTAGTACAAGGGTGTGGTGACGAATGAAGGCTTTTCCACAGTGCTGACACTTATAGGGTCTCTCTCCAGTGTGCTTCCACATGTGTTCTCGCAGGCATGAGTTATACCTGAAGGTCTTCCCACACTGCTGACATTCATACAGTCTCTCCCCCGTGTGTGTTGTCGTATGTTCCCGCAGATTTCCAAGATATCTGAAGGTCTTCCCACACTGCTGACATTCATAGGGTCTTTCCCCAGTGTGCGTCCTCATATGGATGCGCAGGTTTGTGTGATCCCGGCAGGATCTGCCACACTGGTTACATTCATAGGGTTTCACCGTATTGTGGGTGGCCATGTTACGATTAAAATGTTCACACTTCTGGAAAGTTTTCCCACACTCCGTACATTTGTAGGGTCTATCCACAGTATGTGTCCTCATATGGACTCCAAGGGCTGTGTGATATCTGAAAAGTCTGCCACATTCCTTACACTCATAGGGTTTCATGACATTGTGAGTGGTCATGTGACGTTCAAAAGGCAGATGCTTCCTGAAACTTTGCCCACACTCCTTACATTCTAAGGTTCTGTCCTCTTCGTGTCTTCTCATGTGTGCTTCAAGGGAGTAGTGACCAGGGAAGGCTTTCCCACATTGCTGACATTTACAGGGTTTTTCCAGAGTGTGTGTCCTCACATGTCTTTGCAGACTTGAAGCAGACCCAAAGGCTTCTCCACACTTCACACATTCATAGGGTCTCTCCCCAGTGTGAGTTCTCATGTGACGTGTAAGGTAAGACTGATACATAAAGGCCTTCCCACACACGTCACACGCATGGACTCTCTGTCCACAGTGATCCTTCACGTGACCCCGTAAGGATGACATGCAAGTGAAAGTTTTTCCACATTTCTTGCACTCCAAAGATTTTTTACTACCGCGACTCTTCAAGTCTCTCTTCGAAGCTCCCCCAGTGTCCTGAGGTTCATAAGGTTTCTCTACAAGGCCTGTGTCCACGTGAGGGCTGGGGCTCGAGACACAGCTGCAGGCTGGCCCACATTCCTCACAAGGACTAGGTTTGTGTCCAGGGTGGGATCTTTGTGGATTCTCAGGGAAAGAACCATCTGTGAAGGCTTCTCTACACTTGGCGCAGTGACAGGACTTGTCTCTAGAAGGACGATCCACACGCACGGTAAGACTTGTCATCTGCCTTCTGGTTTCTCCACATCGATTATCTTCGCTGCTTTCACAGACCCGCTTCACCAAACGACTTCTGTTCAAAATGGGAAGGCACACTGTTACGGAATAATGATTTTAACTGATCTCTTCATTAATTATCTACTGATCCGTATTAATGATTACTTGATACATAACGGCTGTCTTCAGTGAACGGCTGTTTCTCGCACTGTCTCCATGGAACCAAAGTGAAACAAGCTTAATGTACTGGCTGAAGACGGAAATACTGTCCGAACACTCTAGGATTCTCAGATGTCGTTTTTCTCACCATTATTTCCAACTGAATTAGTTTTCAGATGTTCAGTATCTAGAATGCATTCATTAAAACTACTTCATGTGAAAGTCTGGATCATACAATTACTGAGGTCTGCTCTCAGTGATCCTTTGATCTCAAGCTAGTCTCACCGTCCGCCCTGAGCCCCTCCTTCTCCTGTATGAGTGTTACTCACCTCAAACGCCTTTCCTGGGTTTGGGTTTGATCTCCACCGTTAGGAAATTTCCAGTTTGCTCCAAAAACAGAGCACGAATCATTTCTTGCAAGTAAGACGGTCTTGCCTTCACTGGGGAGCTCATTCTGAACATTTCGCTGAGTCCTTGATGCACTCCTTTTATCCTGACTCGTATCAACTGCAAAAATTAGGAGCAAAATTCACTTTCTTGGGAATGACCTGATGTTTGAAGGTAAGAAAACAGACCATATGTCGATTTCTAGTCATATACTGATCCCGAAATGGAAATGAGGTTCATCAGGAAGAACAGACAAGTAACCAAAGAAAAATCCTCAGGACCCTAGTGATTTGGGACTTTGGCAATAAGAGGAAAAGTGTATGTAGGGCAGCCTGTTTACTCAGAAATACTTCAAAATCGATGGCGACTAATGTGGAGGGAAGTATTATCAGAAAAGTAAAGTAGAAAGGAACTGGACAAAATACATACCTTCACACCCTACTTCCATAAAGGAACACAGAAAGGCTTGCCACGTGGGCAAGGATGGATGAAATGTCTGACAGGAGGCCAGGTGAGTGACAAAATCACCTTCTCAAAACAAGGACAGAGTCACGTTTCTAACGGACTTGCGCAAATGCCATTCCCTTCTCCCTTCTCCGACTGAGGGCTGCTGGTCCGTTCTGAAGGCACCGAGGCCACCGGGGGAGCCTGCACTGCCCCAGCTGCCACTGTAGTGGGATGGTGGGTGTGGCTGCCCAGAGCTCCCCGAGAAGAGCCCAGCAGGGGGGAGGATTTGAAGGGCCACAAGCAGTCTGGAAGATGGGCTCTTTATTCTTCGAGTTCATTGATGATGGTTAAGTGTGGACTTTTTCTTCTTCTTCTTGCTGGAAGCATACTGACCGTTCATTTTATGGTCAGGTCCCAACGCGGTGTTTCAACAATCATCCGCATTACAAAATGCTTGCCACAGTAACTATAATTAAAATCTATCACTATGGAAAACTAATGCTGTATTATGACCATATTCCCTCTGCTGTACTTTCCATTCCCACATTTACTGTGTGTATGTGTGTGTGTGTGTGTGTTCCAATATTCTCTGTTTATACACCACACCCAGTGCCCCATGCAATATGTGCCCTCCTTCATTCGTTCCCACGTTTGGTAAGTGCAGCTTGGACCACTCAATCCCCTTCATCTATTTCTCTGCTCCCTCCGTACCCTCCAGTGGCACAAACACCAATTTCTTCTTGATAGTTTTAAGTCTCTTTCTATTTCCTGTTGTTTGTTCATTCATTTGTTATTTAGATTCCACATGTAAGTAAAATATGGTGTTTGTCTTTCTGACTTACTTACTTGGAAGAAAATCCTCTAGGTCCATCCACGTATTCACAAATGGGAAGACGTCACCCTTTTTCCCTGGCTGGGTAACTGTCCCTTAGACGCGTTTTCCATATATTCATTATCCAATTCACCCGTCGACGGATGCGTGGGTTCCTTCCGTATCTTGAGTATTGCAAGTAACGCTACGATGAACATTAATGTTTTCTCTATGGTTAAATACCCAGAAGCAGATTTACAGACGATATGGTCCTTCTGTGGTGTTCTGCAGAACCTCTGTACTGCTTTCCATGTGGGCTGCACCAATTTACCTTCCCACCAGCAAAGCTGAGTTTCCTGTTCTCCACATTCTCACCAGCACTTGTTATCCTGTTATCTTTGTCCTTCTGATACAGCCAACCTGGCTGCCATGAGGTGGTATCTCACTGCTGATTCGATTTTGACTTCCCTGATGATTTTCTTTTAAAGATTTTATTTATTTGACGGAGAGAGAGAGATCACAAGCAGGCAGAGAGGCAGGCAGAGAGAAAGGGGGAAGCAGGCTCCCCGCCGAGCAGAGAGCCTGATGTGGGACTTGATCCCAGGACCCTGAGACCATGACCTGAGCCGAAGGCAGAGGCTTAACCCACTGATCCCCCCAGGCACCCAGTCCACATCTCTCTTACCAGCTTGTGCTGCTCGGGACAAAGATGTTCCATCTTCCACTCATTGTTCTTTGGCTCCGGGTATTTTGTGGTTCCTCCCTGACCTTCTCTGTTGACCCACTGGTGTTAGTAGCATGCTGTTTGGCCTCAACATGTTTTTGCTTTTTTTTTTCTTTTTGGTAAAGTCTTTTTTAATTTATCTGTCAGAGTGAGTAGAGAGGGGGCACAAGTAGGGGAAGGCACTGGCAGAGGGAGAAGCAGGCTCCCCACTGAGCATGGGACCGTGACCCACGTGGGAGGCAGACCTTTGACCAACTGAGCCGACCAGGCATCCCAAGCTGCTTCCCGTTCTTATTACGGACTTGTAATTTCATGCTGCCATTCTTCGAAAGCGTGCCTCCTAAGATCGCAGTCTTCATAAATTTACTGAGACTCGTTTCGTGGTCTAACACACAAACTATCCTGGAGAATGTTCCGTGTGCCCTTGAAAAGAACGTGAATTCTGCCATCTGGAATGGAAAGTTCACTATGTCCGCCTGGTGCGATGTCACTGAAATCCACTCTTTACTGATTTTCAGTCTGGGCGTTCTATGCAGGCACGTTAGTGGAGTGTTAAATCCTCCTACAATTATTTACTATTGTCACTTTCTGCCTCTATTTCTCCTAATATTTGCTTTCTATATTTAAGCGTTCCATTGGGTACAGAGATATATTCAATTGTTAAACTGCTCTTGTCAGACTAATCTGTCTATCATCATGTCATGGCAGTCTCTGTCTTGTCACAGTCTTCATTGTGACCCCTACTGTATCTCATGTAAGTATTCGAGCTCTACTTTTTACCCCAGTTCTATTTGCATGGAGAATCTATTTTAGTCCACCTGACTTGCAGTCCATATTGTGTCTCCCTTTTAGGCAGACGACACGTGGTTTTGTTTTTTTTTTTTTATAAAGATTTTATTTATTTATTTGACAGACAGAGATCAGAGGTAGGCAGAGAGGCAGGCAGAGAGAGGAAGGGAAGCAGGCTCCCTGCTGAGCAGAGAGCCCGATGCAGGGCTCGATCCCAGGACCCTGGGATCACGACCTGAGCCGAAGGCAGAGGCTTTAACCCACTGAGCCACCCAGGCGCCCCTTGGGTTCTTTTTTTTTAATCATTCAGTCAATGTATGTCTTTTGATTGGAGCGTCTAGTCCGTCTACATTGAAAGTAATTACTGAGAAGCATGCACTTCTTCCTAATTTGTTAAATGCGTCTTTTTAAAATTTAAGATTTACTTATTTGAGAGAGAGTGAGAGAGAGAGCATGAGAGGGCAGGAGCTGAGCAGAGAACCGACCTGAGCCAAAAGCTCTGAGCCACTTCCCACTGGCCTGCCATTTTTCTCCTGAAAAATCAGCTAACAGCCTTATGGAGTTTCCCTTGTAATTTAGAGTTTCTCTAGCTGGTTTCAGATAATCTCTTCATATTTCCTTTTTTCTCCATTTTATTATAAACGTGGGTGTGGACCTCCTTTTGTTCTTCCCATTTGGCCCTGCTGAACCTCCCAGACCTGAGTATCTGTTCCATGCCCAGATCTGAGAACTCCTCACCCACAGTTTCTTCAAAGAAGTTTCTGCTCTTTTCTCTGTTCTCCTCCGTAGACCCCCATGATGCAAATGTTCTTATCACTGCTGTACTCAACAGGTCCCTGAACTTAATACGTCAGTTACTCATCTCTCACCATTACTGTAATTCTGCTATTCAGCTTCGTTGCTTCCTACGTTCCCGCACCTTCCAGATTGCGGGAGCTGCTGGGCGTCCTCCAATATGCTATGGATCCCCCTAGTGTATTCCTCAGGTCAGTTATGGGGTTTCTTAGCTGTGATTGGTTCTTGTTTATATTTCCTATCTCCTTGTTGTAGTTCTCACCGTGTCTAGCCACTCTTCTCTCAAGCCTGGGCGGTAGCTACATGACCACTACCTTGAATTCTTTTATCTGGTAGATGACTTACCTTTCTGTGATTTAGGTCATTTTCAGTGCTTTTATCCCGTTATTTTCCTTGCAACAAATTCCTCTGTCTTCTCCCTGTGCTGGCACGTATTAAGTCAGTCAGCTACATCTCCCGGTCCTCAAAGTAGTGGCTTTTCCAGAAGACATGCTACGGTGCCTTCCACCACAGCATACCCCGGCCACCAGGACCAGGTGCTCCAGGAGTGTTCTGCTGTGGGCCGCGTGTGCCCGCCTGTCACGGCTGAGACCCAGCTGCTACATGCACACTGTGTGGGGCTCGCATGGCTGGCTGAGAAGTCCCACTGTAGCCTTGCTGGGGCACTGATGAATGGGGGTCACCCTCAATATGTCTGTGTGCAACAATGCGTGGTGACTGCTGTGGGCGCAGAGGTGGGCAGTAGCGGGCAGCTGAGAGGCCAGCGGACCAAAGGCCTGAATGCGGCCAATGCAGGC